CATATACCAACAACAATAAGCTCGGTCTTCTTATTTCAATCTTGCATTCTGCTAAGTTTGAAACCAATCGAACTTACCAACCTTTAGTTATCGTGGTAAATGGTGTAAATGTCTTGATTACTGAAGTATTAATTATGCAAATTAGCAATTAGCATATTTACAAAGGGACTCCGTCGCTTTATTACCATCATCCATTGTTAAAAGTTTCAAACCCATCATACTTGCCTAACATGGTAGCTAGCATATTCACACACTTACTGAAAACAATAGGGTCCGTCTTCTTATTGCCATCTTGCATTCTGCAAGGTTTGATACAAATCATACTTACCTTACACTTATAGTGGTACAAAACAAACGACATGACCAATGGCAACGACAACGTAATGACAACGGCGACGACAAAGACAGCATGAGGATGAACTGAGTTAAAAACAGTAGCCTCTCGGGAGCTTCCTTTGTTCCTTTGGGGAAGCTAAAAACAACAAAAAATTCATTGAAAACAAGTAAGAAAACACACTAAAAACAAAAATATTAAATACTACTAAAGAAATATCATCATGAAATTAATATATATTTATATATATATATTTATATATATATATATATTTATATATATATATATACATACCAATTCCACGACTAACGCGACTTTAGTGAGACTCGAGCTGTAGCCGCAGTGATAATAGTGAGAGTGATATGCAAACTTCTATATTATATATATATATATATATAGAGAGAGACGCGCTATATGAGCCGACACTGTCAGCGCATTTTAGTTCATCTACCTTGAGTAATATCATGGTAATTCAGTGATTGAGAGCAAAAGTTGATCATACATTTCACGGTAATTTTGCGTTTAACCTAGATGCAGTTAAAATTTAAACGCTTTAGAAAACGCAACTTGCGTTTATATAGTTCACCCGGTCATTAATATTCATTAAATGGTCCTCAATTATATCCACACCATACTTGAGAACGTCACCAAAAGTATTCATATCTTCATTGAACCATGGCAAAATATTCTGGAAAGTTTTATTTAGATCCATTAATAAAATAAATCATTTGAGATATTTAGGTAAAGCCGATATTATTTTATACGAATAAAAGTATAGTAATAATAAAAAGAAATCGTCTTGAATCGTCCTAATGCTATGCATTACAATGGCCTGTCGCCAAGCATAGATAGAGCGATAGACCTGCTACGTAATCACAAATTTAGTTTAGAGCGTCTTCTCCTTTAAGTAATAAAATAATAATAATAATGATGATATTAATGTTGATGATAATTTTAATTGGAGCAATAGCTTAGAGGATGTCGGATAAGATGCCTGCCTTCTAATTCTCAGGATCCTGTGACTGGAGGACATTTTATCACGACTAAAATGAACTTCACTCCCTAAGCCTCATTATTAGACTTGGTGTACAATGGATCATCCATCCTGTAATTGGCAAATTACTTGCTGTTGTATGCGAATGAAACAAAAAAAAGAATGATTATGATCATGGTGATGATTGATGTTGATGATGACGATACTAATAATAGTTATTATTATTATAAAGTGTCAAGGCTAATGGCGCTTTTACAGTATTATCAACTTTTCAATAACCAGACCACCTCTGAGAGAGCCGATATTCCTCTGCAGCCTGTTATATTACACTATTTGTAATGATGTAAATAGAAATAAGGAAGCAAACAA